ATACATGCATGCATTGCATTGCATTGCATTGCATTGCATTGCATTGCATTGCATTACTTTACATTACATTACATTACATTACATTACATACATACACACAATATATCCATATATATATATATATATATGTATACACATCTGTATACGATTGTATATATATATATACAAATGAAGACGATTTTGAATATTTCTTATGTACCATACAGGCGTATATGTACGTAATATGTCCTACAAAAAGTCCTCTACGAAGGACTCCCCCCCCTCCCGACTTCCTGGTCGCCTGTCATCACGTCCAGCAAGTCCAAAGCTTCCTGCCAGGCTCCGAAAGAGGACTTGTGGCACGCGCTCAGGGCGGCCCCGTAGCTCACCTCGGCAACCGGAACCAAAACAGCTTTCCCCTCCCGGGGTGACGTTCTTGGTGGTAAAATAGGTTGCTTTTTCAAAAACCGAATTTTCTTGGTGGGAAGATCTGATTCCAAGAACCGGCTTAGGGTCAAAGGTCCAGCCAAAATAGGGAATTGGACCCGCAGAATGCTGGCTGCCTTCCTTGTGATTTTCTGATCTCTTACAAAGGGGTCCATGACAAAAGCCAAACCCGTAAAGGGATCTTTTGACCATGGTGCATGTGAAGTGAGGAACCCGATTTTTAGATTGGTGGCACCACTACTTGTTTTTGTTTCAAGGGGCTGAGAAACGAATCGTCAGACTGGGTGGATCCTGTCAGGGTTGCCTAGCAAAGCGAAACTAACTATGCCTTGCAGCCAGTTTGGATTTGAGAGAAGGGAAACACACCATGGCTTGGACCCACTCAGTCTAACGGAAAACCAAACCAACCATTGGATCCATACGTTTGGAAAAGACCCACATCTTACAATGTCCCAAAGAGTCCCACATCTATCTTTGGGATTCCCCTCCAAGAACTTGGGACGCTGACAATAAGAGAGTCCAGACCGAAGGCGATGGGAACGAAGCAATAGCTTTGTGATCCGAGCCAAAGCAGACTGCGGCTCAAGCTTCGTGTTGCTGGCGCTAAAAGGAAGGCGCGCCCTTGAAGGGGTTTGACGCTGCCACCCAAAACGGGGAAACACACGGTCCTGCAAAAAGAAGCATACCCCAAGTGAGGGCGGAACCTCTTTTTTGGCTTCCAAGTTGAAACTCAAAGGAAACCAACCATTTCGGCTGGGAGCGCAATGCTTGCTTTTAGGACACTCCTTTGGGTGTTTCTCAAAGTGCCTTTCTGGGCTTCCTTTTGGCTGCCCCAACCCAAAGGGTTGGCTTTTCAACGAATTCCATCTTGATCACCCCCAATCTGGGTCTGTCTGCCTTCAAACAGCACCGAAGTTCTTGTGGAGTCGGACCCGCCCCATCTCGTTGTGTGAGAAAAAAAAAGAAGAAGAAGAAGAAAAAACAACTTTCGCGTCCAAAGGAGAAAAAAAAAAAAGGCGAGCCACCAGGTTGGGCCGCAGCCGGCAGCGCCGCATCTCCGGCAGGAGGCCCAGGGCCCTTCGCAGCTGCGCGGCCTTGGCGCAGGCGGACAAGGCCACGGAGTAGGCCACCAGGTCCGGGCGAAGGCGCAGGGACGCTCCGCCTAGGGAGCTGAGCCTCGGCTTCGCGGATTTTGGTCAAAAGGGCACCACAAGTCACCCAGCTGCCCGTGGCATCACGTCGTAAAGAGGGCTCCCATGAGAAATCCAAGGGCAGAACAGTGTCGGAAACCCTTGAAGACAAGAGGTCGATTCGACTTTTGGGATTTTTGGACCGAGTGGCAGGTGAAGGGTCGCCTGCCACTGGAGGCACTTGGCGCAGGCCGACATCAGCATACTGTAAGAGGTCAGCCTGCAACTCACAGCTGACGCCCTCATGGCATCCAGATGCCCCAACGCTTGCTGCCACTGCTTGCGGTTGGCAAGTGCTTCCAGTGTCTCAGGTCGAGCCTTCATGAGTTCCAACTACCCATCCTGAAGCGCACGGGCGGCGACATGTCTGCGCTTGTTCCAGGCGAAGGCGGCGTTGCCGCCGCAACGCAGCACGTCGGCACCTCGCGTGCAGCGTGCTTCCCATTTCCCTCACGTCGGGTGCCAACCGCACATGCCCGCAGCAACTCTCCAAACCCCTCTCGAGCACTCAAGGCTGCGAGATGCTGGCTGACAAGTGTGTGTATGTGTGTGTGTGTGTGCCTGAAATGACCTGGCACCTGAGGATGGATTTAACGCAACTGTGCGTCTTCAAGGCGTTAGCCACACCGCGGTGCCAAAGCATTGGTTGCTTTGGCACAGAGCTTATAACTACGGCGAGTGGGTTTGACTGCAAATTGGCCGAGCCGCTCATTTTTCAAGTGGCCATGTGCCAAAATTCGGGCAGCCCAAAATGGTTGGTTGAGTTTGGCTCTCCCTTTCAGCCAACCCCAAAAAGAGGACTCAAACAGACACATTCCCACAAGTGTTCCGTCAGGAAGGCCGCGGTGTCCCGCCACCCATCCCAAAATCATGCAAGGCAGTACAGAGCAGGCGTCGAAGCCGACATGGCTCAGCCATTTGAGTTGCTCATCGGAAAGGAACTGCTTCCAGGCCAGAAAGAGCTTCAAAGCAGAATCTGGCTGGATCCACCTGGAGTCCAGATAACTCTTGACAAAGATTGAAGTCAAACTGAGGCAGGCTGACATGTCTTGCTAGTTGTCGACTTTCATGCCGCGTTTGCTGCAACCATGTGCTTCAAAGGTGAGCTCGATGCGTCGCGTCCGAGCATGCTCTGCAGCAGTGTACTCATCACATGGCTGCCTCTCAAACTGGAAAACCCCTCCTGACCAAAAGAACGACGATTGGACGTCCCTTTCGTGGAGTCACATCGCAGAGATGCACCTGTTCGAGTCGAAGGTGGCGTAGTAGTGTTGGCAAAACCTTGGCAAACGAGCTCTAGCGCACTGAGCTGGGTTCCTGCAAGCGAGCAGAACTCGGAGGATTAACGTCACCATGAAGCACAAACGTCACAAAAGTAGCCCCTTGCTCTAAGTACCCAGCCAAAACCCCGAGTTTTCGTGGTCATTTGGCCAGTTCCCGTGGGCGTCCCTGAGAACAAGGACCGTTCTGGGCTTCCAGCAACCCCTTGCTTCCGCCCTTTCCCCCGTGTCTCCCGAAAACTCTAAGCTAAGTCCAGCGCTGCTCCCCTACCTGTTGAAAGGCCATGGCCTGGCTGACGCGCCGGCAAAATCGAAAACCCCGAAAGACATCGCAGTCTCCCTTCTTGAAATCGCTCCAAAAATGGGTCTCTCAAATACGCGACAAAATCAACACACAAGCCCTCATTGGCTTTCCCAAGAAAGCAGGGTCTGCTCGATTGAACAGTTTGTTCAGCCCTGGTTCAGGGACACAGCTTCCTTTTAAGATATTCCGCGGATTCGCAAAATGAGTTGGACCCCTGGTGTGGCAATAGCACCAACCCCCCACCCTCACCCGAAAAAGAGGGATCCCTTCTGACTACTGCTGTCGTACCTCATCATCCCTGAAGACAAGATGCAAACCTGTTAATGTAGCTGCCACTTTGAACTTAACCAATGTGGAAGTACCAGCAGCAAGAGACCGATTTGTGCATCTTGAGCACCTGCAAAAAAACACAAGTTCCAATGGATTCGGGCCATGTTTCGCATCTTGTTGAAACGTAAGGGACGAGTGTGGAAGCCAACCAGCCAAAGACTCAACACTTGGTCACGTCGCAAAAGCGCCGGCTGCAGATGTTCACAATGTTGCAAAAGCAGTGAAAGAACTGCTGGAAACCTTGTGTAAAGTTTGCCATGTGGATCCAACGTGCGGCCAGTCTTAGAAGCCGTAGAGTTGAATCAAAATAACATGAAACAGGTCTGGATCAACTCATATGATCCACGGTCAATATGTACTGACTGTCCTGGACGTGGAAAACTAGAGAGTCGCTTGGCTCTTCTGGGATACGACCCTCCCAAATGGAGGAGGGTAGACTACTTGATATTTCGAGGCAACCTTAAAATGTAGGCATGTATCAAAATCGAATGTCCGACAAAAGACTGATCTCTGCTTGGCTTCCCTAAAAAAACCACTCCAAAAGGGTACCCTCCAAAGGACGCACACACACGTGCCTGGTGGAAACTCCTGGAAGCCCCGAAACCTCCACCCCAGTCCCGGGTTGGCGCCTCTGTCCGCCCAGGGGCCAACCAGAAGTTTCACTCAAGCCGAGGGCCCAGGGCCAACTGCGGGGGATTTGTTGGCTGTGAATTTGTGAAGCTGACGTGTCCTGTTTTTGTCTGCTTGTCTTTGGGTCTTTGCTGTTGGTTGTTGATTGTTTTTGATTGTTTTTGTTTGCTTGCTTGTTTGTTTGCTTGATTGCTTGCTTGTTTGCTTGCTTGCTTGCTTGCTTGTTTGTTTGTTTGCTTGCTTGCTTGCTTGCTTGCTTGTTTGCTTGATTGATTGTTTGCTTGCTTGCTTGCTTGCTTGCTTGCTTGCTTGCTTGCTTGCTTGCTTGCTTGCTTGCTTGCTTGCTTGCTTGCTTGCTTGCTTGCTTGCTTGCTTGCTTGCTTGCTTGCTTGCTTGCTTGCTAGCTTGCTTGCTTGCTTGCTTGCTTGCTTGCTTGCTTGCTTGCTGGCTGGCTGGCTGGCTGGCTGGCTGGCTGGCTGGCTGGCTGGCTGGCTGGCTGGCTGGCTGGCTGGCTGGCTGGCTGGCTGGCTGGCTGGCTGGCTGGCTGGCTGGCTGCTGGCTGGCTGGCTGGCTGGCTGGCTGGCTGGCTGGCTGGCTGGCTGGCTGGCTGGCTGGCTGGCTGGCTGGCTGGCTGGCTGGCTGGCTGGCTGGCTGGCTGGCTGGCTGGCTGGCTGGCTGGCTGGCGGGCTGGCTGGCTGGCTGGCTGGCTGGCTGGCTGGCTGGCTGGCTGGCTGGCTGGCTGGCTGGCTGGCTGGCTGGCTGGCTGGCTGGCTGGCTGGCTGGCTGGCTGGCTGGCTGGCTGTTTGGCTGGCTGTTTGCTTGCTTGCTTGCTTGCTTGCTTGCTTGCTTGCTTGCTTGCTTGCTTGCTTGCTTGCTTGCTTGCTTGCTTGCTTGCTTGCTTGCTTGCTGCTGCTTGCTGCTTGCTGCTTGCTTGCTGCTTGCTTGCTGCTTGCTTGCTTGCTGCTTGCTTGCTTGCTGGCTGGCTGGCTTGCTGGCTGCTTGCTGGCTTGCTGGCTGGCTGGCTTGCTGGCTTGCTGGCTGGCTTGCTGGCTGGCTGGCTGGCTTGCTGGCTTGCTGGCTTGCTGGCTTGCTGGCTTGCTGGCTTGCTGGCTTGCTGGCTTGCTGGCTTGCTGGCTTGCTGGCTTGCTGGCTTGCTGGCTGGCTTGCTGGCTTGCTGGCTTGCTGGCTTGCTGGCTTGCTGGCTTGCTGGCTTGCTGGCTTGCTGGCTTGCTGGCTTGCTGGCTTGCTGGCTTGCTTGCTTGCTTGCTTGCTTGCTTGCTTGCTTGCTTGCTTGCTTGCTTGCTTGCTTGCTTGCTTGCTTGCTTGCTTGCTTGCTTGCTTGCTTGCTTGCTTGCTTGCTTGCTTGATTGCTTGCTTGCTTGCTTGCTTGCTTGCTTGCTTGCTTGCTTGCTTGCTTGCTTGCTTGCTTGCTTGCTTCTTGCTTGCTTGCTTGCTTGCTTGCTTGCTTGCTTGCTTGCTTGCTTGCTTGCTTGCTTGCTTGCTTGCTTGCTTGCTTGCTTGCTTGCTTTTTTGCTTGCTTGCTTGCTTTGTTGCTCGCTTGCTTGCTTGCTTGCTTGCTTGCTTGCTTGCTTGCTTGCTTGCTTGCTTGCTTGCTTGCTTGCTTGCTTGCTTGCTTGCTTGCTTGCTTGCTTGCTTGTTGGCTTGTTGGCTTGCTTGCTTGCTTGCTTGCTTGCTTGCTTGCTTGCTTGCTTGCTTGCTTGCGTGGTTGCTTGCTTGCTTGCTTGCTTGCTTGCTTGCTTGCTTGCTTGCTTGCTTGCTTGCCTTGCTTGCTTGCTTGCTTGCTTGCTTGCTTGCTTGCTTGCTTGCTGCTTGCTTGCTTGCTTGCTTGCTTGCTTGCTTGCTTGCTTGCTTGCTTGCTTGCTTGCTTGCTTGCTTGCTTGCTTGCTTGCTTGCTTGCTTGCTTGCTTGCTTGCTTGTTTGTTTGTTTGTTTGTTTGTTTGTTTGTTTGTTTGTGCTGTTTTGTTTTGTTTTTGTTTTGTTTTGTTTGTTTTGTTTGTTTTGCTTGTTTTGTTGTTTTGTTTGTTTGTTTGTTTGTTTGTTTGTTTGTTTGCTTGCTTGCTTGCTTGTTTGTTTGTTTGTTTGTTTGTGCTGTTTTGTTTTGTTTTGTTTGTTTTGTTTGTTTTGCTTGTTTGTTTTGTTTGCTTTGTTTGTTTTGATTCATTTGATTGTTTTGTTTTTTGTTTGTTCTGTTTGTTTTGATTGCTTTGATTGTTTTGTTTTTTGTTTGTTTTGTTTGTTTTGTGTGGTTTGTTTGTTTTGTTTGTTTTGTTTGTTTTGTTTGTTTTGTTTGTTTTGCTTGCTTGTTTGTTTTGTTTGTTTTGATTGATTGTTTGATTGTTTTGATTGTTTTGTTTGTTTGTTTGTTTGCTTGCTTGCTTGCTTGCTTGCTTGCTTGCTTGCTTGCTTGCTTGCTTGTTTGTTTGTTTGATTGATTGTTTGTTTGTTTGTTTGTCACGGCTTTCTCGTTTTCTTTTCAAGGCGGCAAGAAAGCGAAGGTCGCAGCACTCGTCGCCTTTTCTCGGGCAACCTTGGCACGGTACCACACTCAAGCCTTCAAACAGTCTTCTGAACTTGCTGCCCCCTTGTTCGTGCGTCAAGGGGCAATGGACAGGGACAGGCTGTGTGACCACTTGCAACGCGCTAGGTCGACCCAGGACGCCCAGGCAGGCCCAACCCCGAAAGTTCTGAAGCATGACGTAGTGTTTGAAGGGGACAAAAGATTGGACCAAGCGAAAACCATGTCTACCATGAAGACCCTGCCGAAACGCAACCCAAGACATGAGTCAAACAGAACCCCAAGAACCAAAATGTCCAACTGGAGTAACATCAACTGCCACAAAGAACACACTTCGGCCACCAGCCTGAGGGTTTGAAGCAATTTGGATGGCAAAGCAAACCACCCAAGATAGCATTCAATGCTTGGATGCCGTGATAAAAATGATAAAGTGGTTCTGACGTTCATTTGCTCGGCAGTGCCCACTATCAGCAACGATGTTGCCTCTTTCTTCGCGTAATACGGACACTGTGGCCGCCTCAATTTGCAGTGTGTGTCCTGCGTTCGGCAAGCATGAACGCCAGGTGTCGGCCAGGTTTCTGCCAAAAAGAACAGAATCTGGTTGCCAAAGCACAACCATTCACCGACCAATCACCAACCTATTTGATTCTTCGGTGCATCGATGTCGACTTTCTGTTCGCACTGGGGCTCGAGGAAGCCATCTAGCGCAGCTAAGCAATTCCAAACGGAAAAACGCATGGTGGCGCACGGCAGGGACGGCTGTGAGTGGTGAGGCGTGTTCGCATGGTGCGGCCACACCGCCACACCGCCTTGCTATGGTTGACTGCCCGTGACTCGGGCAATGGAACACCACACACAAGGGTAGTTGACCC